TAGTAAACCAAGTGCTTGTCAGATTCAAAATGGCCAATACCAGTCCATTTCAGCTCACTAATGCCTAAGATATCGATGTTTATGCATTCCATTTCATTTTTGACAATTTCTAATTTTCCTAGATTCAAACTTCGTATATTCCATGTTTCGATTATTAATGAATGTTTACAGCTGTTTCTCTTTATTTTGAGTTGTGCCCCATGATCAAATGAAGGTTCTGCGGGCTTTACCCCATTCGCGTCATCATGGTCAACTCTACTTTGAGGAGGCAGCTCTTTCCCAGTTGCATTTTGAGTGCCTTCCAACCTGAAGGGCTCATTTTCCAGCACTATATCTGACAGTATTTTTCTGCTATTCATAAGGTTTTCAGTGACTAAAAATTCGAAAGTAGTTCATCACTCCTTCTTCCTAGTCTGTCTTCATCTGGAAGCTCATCTGAAACCTGTCCACCATGGGTGACCCTGCTTGTATTTAAAATACCGGTGGCATAGTTTCCAGAATCACAGCAACTCACAAGCCACCACAGTATGACAAACTGACAGACGAGTCCCGGATAGAGCAACAAAAAAATGTGGAACGAAACTCAAAATTATTTAAAAAAAAAAAAGGATGAGTTTAATGGTCAGGTCTGGAAAGGTACCCACGGGGTAGCCCAATTTTCAGCCAAGCAGTAGACAGGTATAGAGGGAGGCCACAACACTAGTATGGTCAATCATTCAAACTCAAAAGGGTAACATTTACCTAAAGACAAAGTTAAGATGGGATGGGAAGGTGGGTGGAATGGAAACAGGAAGCACAAGGAGGAAGTGAGAGAACTGTGTTGCATGGAGGGGATGGATTGCAATCATTGACATGAAACAAAACATAAGATGTGTGTGATTTATTGAATGCAAAACTGATGAGCTTCTGTAAACCTTCACTTAATTCACAATAAAAACTTTAAAAACAAACAAAAAACAACTAATTTTGAAAAAAATAATCCACATAACTTAGTGAATATCAACCATCACATATCTTTCCATTAACAGGAAGTTGAAATTTCTGGAATTTTAAAAGACCTTTCCAGATGTTCTAGCCCAATGTCCTTGTTTATTCAGGTAAGAAAACTGAGCTCCAAAAACAAGGAAGTGATTGCCCCCAGGTCACAGAGTGGAACAGAGGAAAAGACCTTTCCCTCACAGTCAATCCCACCTCTGCTTACTCCCTGTCTGATTCCATTAGTTCCTCATCTTGACAAATGTCTCTGCAGAACTTTGACAACTCCCCATAATTAGGCCTTTTTACATGTTCACATTCCATAATGACAACTGACCCGATTTTATTAGGCTTGAAGATGAAAGGGTGCACCAATTTCTAGCTTATAATAACTAAGCAAAATAACTTACTTGGCACGTGAGGGTCTCATGTGAGTTGTAGAGTTGTGACGAAGGCTTAACATGTTTTCATGCTCTACTTGCTTGACCTGAGCTTCCAGCTTTGAAATGGTTCTAATTCAAAAAGAGTAAGATACATTACATTCAGTTCAACCATTTTAAGCACTGTTCAACTGCAAATTATTGACTTAACAGACCCTCCTAGGAATCCTGGTGTGGCACTGTAGGATAAGCACTGGACCACAAAGTCGGTTTGAACCACAAGGTCGGCGGTACAAATAACCACCTCTCAATGGAAACCGATACAGGGTAGACTCAGACCCGACTTGACAGCACTTAACAACAACAGACCCTCCTAGGAAACTTTAAAAAACTGAGCAAAATCAGGGAAAATAAATGGCAAAGAAAATACAGTTCGTAAATTCTATTGAAAGAGCATTTCAAATACCACAGCTGCAGACAAAGGAAACAAGTGGACTCAACATGCTTTTATTGTTAAATCCCATGAAGGTGGTTCCAACTCTAGCTTTTTAAAGTTTCATGACGGCATTTCAGTCTGAAAATGTTTTCTATACAGACAGCATATACGTTACCCTTTTCCTAGGAGGGTTGTTGCTATTGTTGTTAAATACCAATGAGGTGGTTCCGATTCATAGTGACCCTGTACAGGGTTTCTGTGGAGCAACTGATTAGTTTAAACCGCTGATCTTTCAGTTAGCAGTCCAGTGCTTATCCTAGTGACTCTGGAATAAATGCAGCAAGTAAAAACATTACATACATATAACTAGAGATAAAAAAAATACAAATGATAAATTAAAATAATCCAAACATTCAATTCAGTTATGATTTTAGCATGTTTAATTCTAATATATATATATATATGTAAAATATGAGGGGACTTCAAAAAGTTCATGGAAAAATAGAATGAAAAGATAACAGAATTTTCCCATGAGTTTTCTGAATTCCCTATGTAGATTAAAGGCACTGCCTTCACAAAAAAGGACATAGGTTTTATTCCCAACAATACAACTCTTAAAAAGAATACCCTAGTTTTATATAAAGTGCAAAGGCTAATAAAACATCCCAATTTTAAACTTATATGTAGTTCATCTGATTCATAGCATTTTCAGAAAAAATGTTTAATCTTAAATTTACCAACAAAGTAGCAACTCAGGCCAATCCAGTCACTTGTTCTAATTGTATCCTAGCATCCTTTCCAGTCTCATAAACTCTGCGTATGTCCTCATATCTAACCGTAAATTTAAATTGTTCCCTTCCCTGCTGTGTGGGAGATAATTCAAGAAAGACTAGGTCTGACAAGGGTGAAGTTTTCTAGGAGCCCAATAAGAGGCCATCACTACAACTAAATACTTCACAGAAAGGAGCAGCGCAGTGAGAAAGGGAGAGAGGGGTTCCTGTCCACTCCCATGCAACGGAAAGCCCCCTGGGTGCAGTGAGTCGTCCAGGTCAGAGATACTCCTTACATTCAAATACAAATGCAGAAACACGCTCAGAGTCGCTTAGAAATACTCCATCATTTGTCACAGATACCATGTCTCCTGTGTGTTGCTGTTGTTGTTGTTAAGTACTGTGGAGTCGGTTCTGACTCATAGTGACCCTGTACAGGGTTTCCGAGGCTGTAAATCTTTACAGGAGCAGAAAGCCTCATCTTTCTCCTGCGGAACGGCTGATAGTTTCAAACTGCCAGCCTTGAGGTTAGCAGCCTGATTCATAACCACTACGCTACCAGAGCTCTAGGACTGCTCCTAAATAGCTGGGTTTAGATTCAGCAGAGCAAAACCATTAATACGGTCTTTAATCAAGGTCTTTTAAAAAAAGACGGCCACAAAATGGTCTCAAGGCAGTTTCCTTTTGGAAGCTTGAAAAGAGTTTAGTGAATTAGATGCTTCTGAAAGATCATTCTAGTCCAGAGGTTGCATGTCATTTCAATTTTACCAAAGCTGAAAGAACATATGACATTTCAGGAGTGCATGTCTGAGGAACAACTAATAATATGGTATAATCATTTAAACACCTGCTTTGGTGATATTCAAATATATTTCTATGTTAGGGAAAGATGAGGATAAAACCAGTACTCAAGCAATTTAAATATCCTCAGAGAAAATTTCCTTTCTTCAGTTTATAGACAGACCCATATTTAAGTGCTGAAAGAACAAGTAAAGGCATTTGCATATTAGTAAGACAAATACATTTTACCTTTTTAAGTCAGATATCTGAGTATGTGCATCAAGCAATTTGTTCTCAGTTGTATTTAATATATCCTATGAAAAAACAACAAAAAAACTTAGGTAACTAAAGGTAAATACTCAGATGTATTCCTTTTATTTTAAAATACTTAATAAAAACTCATCTATACCTACACCAGCTAGCTATTCAGAAAACTGTGCAGACAGTCAACAAGTAGGGCATTAACTACAGAGCTAATTCAAGGGGGAAAATGAGAGAATCAAGCATTGTGTCAGTTCCACACGTAGGAGGCATAAAAATGGACATATTAACCACAAACCTGACTAAAACCTCAGTATAGTGCTTTAAACAAAACACACCCATCTGCAATTTTACATATAACACAATTGGCTCCTAAAACCCCAAACCATTTGGCTGCTAATTGTGTAGGCCTTGTCACTGTGTGAATCACCTTTACCCTGCATTTTAACAAGCACAACTACTTGCCCCACTTACAGGTTATGATGGGGTTTCACTGCACTAAAACGGGTAATCCCTTAACAGAGCTTCAACAAAGAGTTCAAACTCATCAATAAACGCAAATAAATAACCTTACAAAAAGGTGATCAAGCTTTAAGTCATAAGACTAAAGAGCTATTTGCACCTGTGTGGTATCTTATCCACTTCTAAATGATTTCATCCCAAGCCACTCATCTCAAAAGCAGCAGCCATCTAACAAATACTTGTTAAATTATTGAAAAAAACCCAATACTTTGAGATCTTTGTTTCCAACCCAAAACTTTGTGGCCCCAAAAGGAAAGTCAGAACATGAACCACAAAAATTACCTTCACTCTTTCGTGCTCTTTTCCCAGGGATTCATACTCTTCTAAAAGCTACAAGGAAAGGAAAAAAAAAAAATTGTACTACCATATTAAACATTATAATATTAATAGAGGGGCAGCCTGAAAAACAACTGCCTTAAAAATACTATTTAAAAAATGCCAATGTCATCAAAACAACAATGAGGTATCATCTCACACCAGTAGGGAAAGCAAGGTTCAAAAAAGCAAAGGACAACAAATGTTGGCAAGGGTGTGGAGAGACTGGGACCATCCTACGTGGCTGGTGGGATTGTAAAATGGTTCAACCACACTGAAAAATGGTATGGTGTTTCCTCCAATAGCTGGAAATAAAAATACCTTATGATCTAGCAATTGCTCACAAGAAATATGAGCCAGAACGCAAGTAGATACATGCACACCCCAACACTTTTCACAATAGCAAAAACTGGAGACTACTCAAATGCCCACCAATGTTGGAATGGATGAAAAAATTCTGGTACATACACACAACTGAGTACTATGCTACCTTGAAAAATAACAAAGCTGCAAAACACCACATAACGTGGATGAGCCTTGAGGACATAATGCTGAGCGAAACTAGACAGGCATGAAAGGACAGATATTGTATAAGTCCACTGCCGTAAAAACTAAAGAAAAGATTTCCATAAAAAACAGTTCTTTGAGGTTTGCCAGGGGATGGACACAAGTTGACTTGGGGGACAGGGGGCAATCAGTACACAAGGGGGGAGGACAGAGGAGAGGGGGAGATGGGGAAAGTCTCTGGGAAGTCTGCATGGGCTGAATATAGAACAGAGCTGGACTGTGACGTCTGCACAGCCCCGGAATCACAAGGCTACAGGACACAGGGACTGAGACACGGGCTGAAGGGGTAAAGGGGTAAAGGAGAGGAGATGATGTTGAGATATATGACTGCTCACAACAGGACCAATCCTGCATAAGACCATTACTGTAGAAGCTTAGAAAAAGATGTTCATACTAACAGGGAGGAAACAGTAAGGCACAGGTTGGGTGAGGAAGGGGAGGGCAATACACAAGAATGGGGGTGGAAGAACAAGGAAGATCGGGGAAGGTTTGCATGGGCTAAATGGGGCAGAGTAAATAGGGATGTATGCTTAACCTCGGAACAATAGGGCTCTGTAATACAGGGATTGAAGCACAATCTGAATGGGTCAAACAGGGGAAATCATGTTGAGGTGATAGATTGTATATGGATACTGGTTCCCCAACCTACTAATGTACAATAGACACTTGAGTGGTATAGAAAAGAGTATCAGAAAATATGATTACAGAAAGCTTGTAAGCCCGTCTTCAGTTTACAATGGATTAGAATCCCTAAAAGGGGTTCTAGAACTTGCCCAGTGAAAGAGGCTTCTTATAGAGTCTTTGTACAGTATGGGGCCTTGGAGGGAATCCTAGACCCCATACAGAACTTTCTGAGGTGGGACATTCATAATTGAAAGGATATGCAGACCAACCCAGAGAGGCTAGAGGAACAGAAAATACTTTGTGAAAGAAAGACCAGTAGGTAAAGAGATTTTTTTACAAAAAGGCAGACTATCTGATTATTACAATAACAAACAAGCTGTTCGTTTGGGATCCATCAAGGCAAACCATCATGTCACTTCATTCAGGACAATCCCTCTTCTGAGACTGAAACTCAAAGTGAACACACAAGCAGGCTTGTAAACTCGTTGGTGAATGTGTAGGTCTACTTGTGAGTGGAAGTAAAGGAAACACAGTAATGAAGACATGGGCTGAGCCTGACCATGTTCCACACACTCCTGTCAACCTTGAGATGAGAGAGAGAGGAGGAAGAGCTGGTTGGTCTGAAGTTTGGAGAGACTTGGGAACCGCTAATCCCATGGACACTGACGGCTACTGGGGGCTAAAGAGTGAAATGTCCAGCTGATATGAAGTGGGGGAAGGTGTACAGGAACGCCCAAGCTTGCAGGTAGTACCTATTTGACCTAGCTCGGATGGCTTGATGATCAAAACTCAACTAGAAGAAGACAAAGAAATTTGATACAGAAAACAAATGTAAATTGCTATAATCTGATGAACTTGACTTATCTTATATATGTAGCAGTACAAAATACCAACCAAGAGGGAAGGAGTCTTCAACTCAAGGATCAAGCATAACGCCTCAGTATATAGGGTTGATAGGGACAGGGAAGTCAGACAATGGCTACCTAAAACGGGGAGGAGGGGGACAAGGGGGGCCATAAAAGCATGAAGTGACTGGCTTACAAGTTTTCAAGTGGGAGTTCAGTTTCAGAGTGAATAGGGAAAGGTAGTATCCCACTGAACAGCTTCCATCTTGTCTAGACAGATCAGGTAAAAGGAAATGTGGATAGGATTCTATTGACTTAATAGTAATTATTATCATGATTAATTGTGATTGTCACAACTGAAAAGATAGAAGATGTATAACAAAAAGGGGGGGACTCTAGACTCATGGAAGGGGAAATTTTGAGTGCTGACAGGCAAGGGGCTGGTGTGAAAAATGTGCCCTTTGGTTGTTTAAACAATTGTATATTCCTGCATGTTTCTGTGTACATCAAAAAAGGGGATTGTAATCATTACAATGAAACGAGGTGATTGGTTGAACACAAAACTGATGTTCTACCATGTAGACTACCACTCAATTCACAATAAAAGCTATAAAACAATGCCAGTGTCAAGGAAGACAGAGATCTCAAATTAAGGCAACTAAAGAGACATCAAGATGGCGGATCGGGTAGATGGCAGTGAGGAGCTCCGTCATCAACAACACACAATACCAGGCCAAGCAGGCTCAGGGGATAGTGCTAGAACTCTGAACCACATATAAAGGAATATTTAGAATACTGGAAAGCTTACAGATAGGGGAATCTGTAGCATAATCAAAATCTAATTCAAGACGCTCAGCTATTCCCGGTGCCACCATCTTGGAAGAGTCCAAGTGGAGGAAAGGATCAGAGAAGCCACGGACGCCTGACAGAACCGCAGAGATACAGGTGTGGACATTCTTTTTTTGGTATCTGTTCATTGGTCTCTTGCTGTCTGCGCACCTCCATTCTGATGACTGCGATGGATGCCTGAGCGAATGGACACCCCACCCCCACCCCTGGAGGGTTCGACTACGCGCGTGCACAGATCTCCTCGAAATTTAAAATGACACTTTCCACTTAAAACCAAATGGCCACGACTCATCTGGAAGATTGTCGTACTGTGGTGACTTGTGAGTTGCCGTGATTCTGAAATCTATGCCACCGGTATTTCAAATACCAGCAGGGTCACCCAAGGTGGACATGTTTAAGATGAGCTTCCAGATCAAGACAGACTAGGAAGAAATAGTGATGAACTACTTCCGAATATTTAGTCACTGAAAACCTTACGAATAGCAGAAAAATACTGTCAGATATAGTGCCAGAAAATGAGCCCCTCAGGTTAGAAGGCACTGAAAATGTGACTAGGGAAGAGCTGACTCCTCAAAGTAGAGTTGACCGTGATAACGCAAATGCAGTAGAGCTCGTGGGAGAAAAGCATGCGGGACCTTCATTTGCTGATGGGCCACAACTTAAAATGAAGACAAACAGCTGTAAACATCCATTGAAAATCAGAACATGGAATGTACCAAGTATGAATCTGGGAAAATTGGAAAGTTGTCAAAAATGAAATGGAATGCATCAACATCGGTATCTTAGGCATTAGTGAGCTGAAATGGACTGGTATTGGCCGTTTTGAATCTGACAACCACATGGTTTACTATGCAGGGAATGACAAATTGAAAAGGAATGGTGTTGCATTC